ACAGCTAAGGGAATGTACTTCGATGTGATGATATTTTTTCCGGATTTATTGAGTATACGTATTGAGAATTGCACAAACTAATCCTTCGTTACCACGTCGATCGTCTCGCCAACCAAATAAATACGAACCTTGAGTTCGTGAAGCTCATTGGGCAACACTGATGACGTTTTTAAAGATTAACCAATCATATGATTTAGCAGACCTGTAGGCCGGGAAGGCGGAGCCTCAAGCACAGTCCGTTGTTTCTGCTTTGTAAGGCGTTTATGATCTTTCATACACTGCATTTATAATAAAATAAGTTATTGTATAGCCCTCACATTTAGATTTAGATTTTCTTTTTTTTTTCTTTGTTTTGTTTCAGTATTACTACACCGACTGTCTGACAGGGAAAGTGAAATGGAATTGAAGCACTTTTTTCTTAATACATGATAAAGCATAAAATGTTCTTGAGCTTTCATTCAATCATCATTTATGTATGGAAAACATACAATAGTAGTGGCTCCACTGATACAACAACAACAACAACAACAACTTTCTTCAAGCAACTAAAGAAGTCCAGACGCTATTCTTTGCAAGCTCCTTTGACTACGATGACCTGGATGACTGAGAACCTTCACAGACAACAACAACAACTGTATTTCAGAAATGGCTGATCTACTGTGATTTCTCCAAACAACTATCTCTAGGGTTTACAGAGTGCCTATACTACTTTAAACTAATAGGAAATAACTCAAATTACCACTTGTTCCAACCAATGTATGCAGAAGAGCATCTCTGAATGTACAGCATGTCCAGCCTTGAAGCAGATAGGCTACAAAATCACAGTGAGTGCCTCACTTGTCAGCTTACAACGGGAAACTGAGGCTACTAGTCACACAGGTTGATCATAACTGGACATCAGTTTGGAAAAAAAGTTCTGATGAGTCTCATTTTCTGCATGCAGACATTCAGATGGTAGGGTCAGAATTTGCCATGAACAGCATGAAAGCATGGCTCCATCCTGCATTGTATCAACGGTTCACACTGCTGGTGGTGTAATGGCGTGGAAGATATTTTGCTGCCACATTTTGGTCCCCTTAGTACCAGTTTGGCATTGATAAAACACCACAGCCTACCTGCAATATCACTGATTTAAGCTATGATTTCAGTATGGATCAAAATCTCTATACCCTGTTGAATCTATGTCATTATAAATTAAGGCAGTTCTGAATGCAAAAGGTGTCCAATGTGCTACTAATAAGTTGTACCTATTAAAGTGGCCATGAGTGTGTATTAATTAAGTTAGAAATAAAAGGAAAATAATCCAAAATGGTCATTCTGGCAGTGATACCATTAGTATTACAGTACTTGGAAAAATATAAATGTACCTTTCATGTAAAATGAAAGCTTTAGTGCAATAATTTGGACAGTTTAGGTTATATTTTAATTTTAGTGAGTGCAAACCAAAGTACATCATATACAGTATGCCAATGCTGATAACTACACATTAGAAGACAAAAATGCTTTACAACACAAACAAAAGTTCCAGTTTTTATAATACCAAGTGGTCTTAATTTATTGTGGCTTATTTTCATGTAAACAAATAAAAACAAAGTGGTAAGAAGCTTCCCTCATTCTGTAATAAAAGGTAGGAAACAGCTGTCCGAAGAACATGGCTCACTTTGATTTAAAGGCAATTTTGATCCTGAGCAAAGATATGTGTACAAAAAAAAGAAAAACTAAGAAATCCTATGTAGAAAAAATTGCGATACCTGCTCCACTTATCTCTAGAGTATTTCCATGCATTAAAGTACGAAGGTAAGGATAAACTGTGTATTGGTCAAACTACAGGTTTGTAGGTTAACACGCTACAACAGCTACAATAAAAACAAGATCATCTCAGTGCTTCTCTTCCATCAGAGCAGGGTTTATCCTCATCAGGTCATCTCATCAGAAGTAACAAGGCACTGGAGGAAGACAAAATAAGCATGATGTTAAATACAACACATTTATTTTGGCTCTCATCAGAACACTCAAGAGTTTATCCTTACATGAGAGTAACTATTCTTCAGCCTTATCTGTTTCTTTGTTGTCCTTGGGAGAGCACGTCTTCTTACTGTCTAAAACATCAGTCTTCACCTGCCCCAGAGATCGCAGTAGACACATGGTGTCAAACCCTTCATCATCAGCCTCTTGCAACAACTCAAGCACCTGTGGAAGAGACATTTTTCTAATTTTCCTAAGAAGAAAGGAACAACACAAACAAGTGCCCATGCTTCACCCACAGTTTTAGTGTTGAGACGCACCTGCAGACACTTAAAGGACTTAAGTGCGCTCAGGTTCTCATGCAGAAACAGCAGATAGATACTGAGGTCATTGTAGACGGGGGTGACCAGACCCAGAGCACCAAATCCTGGCAGCATCTCATAAGGCCGAAGGAAGCTGGAGCTTTGACGTGCTGGCCCGAGAGCAGCATACACCACTAATGGAGCAAGAATCACATACACTCCCAGGTTGATATAGCTGAGAAGCCTGAAAACACCAACTGCAACAAGCTTACACTGAACAGGAGACGGCACCATGCTGTCGTTCTTCAGCACTCCTGTCCGCAGATCACACGGAAACTCATCTGTGAGAGAAGCTAGCAGGATGTAATAGCCAAGGTAGATACATGCAAGCAGGAGGATCAGCAGAGTCAGTCCCCGACATGCCAGGTACTTGACCACAAGTCTGTGAGAGAAGCGCTTGGTCTTTAAATACTGCTCCACTAAAGGGTATTTAAAGCAGCCTTCAGTCAGGTCCAAAGCACTGCAGCAGGAAAAAGGTAAATGAACAATTAGCATGAGATAAAATGACTTCAGTTTCATAGCACTTTGTGGAAAATAGTTTTTAAACTACAGTTTGAGTTTTTTAATGATCACTAATATTCAAAAAATGCCAGGAGTGAAGGACAAGCATTTCTCCCTGCCAGCTTTGCTTCTTTAACATTACCACAAGATGGCACCAAAGATGCCATCACTCTTCAGCAGATACAAAATGAAAAGAATTCAGATGTCCTGTGCACTGCTGCCTACCTTTCACCAAATAGCAGGAAGACCCAGTTAGCAACAATAAAATAAATGAAGCATTTAGCAGCTTTAAAAACGTGAGTGTAGGATGACTAAATGTTCTCTACATGAATATAAATACAGTACATTTCTCTTATATTTTTACTTGTACATATCTGAGATTCTTTTCCACCTTTAGATTTGGATTTATTTATTATTTATATTGTAAAGCCCGATGGCGAGTAAATGCACCAAAGTTTCTTTCTGGTGTGCACTAACAGTTGTA